GGACATTCCGTGGACGTCCTTGCTCGGACATTGCTTGAGATGTACGGGATGGGACGTCCCAAGGACACTCATTTTTGGTTCGGGACATTCGGACGTGAATTGTACCAAATAGGGACGTCCCTTGGACGTTGTGTGCTATTAGGGTATTATTAGGTTGTGCGATTATACAGGAAGCCTTGAAGAATCACTTGTGGAACTAAACATTTTGGAGTGATTATAGTCACACCAACTGAAAATATCATGTACTTTCGATATGTATTTATTGTAAACAGGTCAGATACAAAGTATTCGATTCATTTAGGACACATATATGTAAGAAAACACGAGTTTTCCTTTAAAAACTAATTCATAGTAGAAAAATCGTGATGTGAACAACAGCTCTAACGATCAGTATCAAGTCCTCAGAGCATATCTAAATATTTATAATATCGAACATAGTATTATAGAACCACTTAGCCACACGTGTGCTGAGTGATACAAATAGGGTTCTTCTTGCCCAACAATTCCAATAGCCGATGTCTTGATATTTCGAGATGACCATATTCAACAACTACAGGGAGTTTGCTCACACGGCCAACCTGACCTGTAATTCGTTCTCGAATTTCTATCGGTAGATAGTCAATCTGAAATAATAGAGAAATAAGGCAGAATCGTGATACAAACACAGCCATGCAACACCACAGCCCTTTGAAATTTGTCCAACTCAATCAAGTGTCTATTTTCAACATAAAATATTCTTCGAAGTGAATGCAAAAGCGTTCTGCTTTCAACACCATAACATAACTTCATTTCACCAGACAATGTATGCAAAGCGTTCCATTTTCAACACAATAATTTTTATTTCAAAACTAGTTCAAAGCATCCTGCTATCAACACCAATTCATCAAGTTTGAAAACTACGTGCAAAGCGTAACAGCTATCAACACAAATTCATATAGTTTGAAACCTACGTGCAAAGCGTAACAGCTTTCGACAAAATTCATAAAGTTTAAAAATTTCGTGCGAAGCGTAACAGCTTTCAACACACATTCATAAAATTTGAATACTACTTGCAAGGCGTAACAGCTTTCAACACAAATCCATATGAAGTTTGAAATCTACGTGCAAGGCGTAACAGCTTTCAACACAATTCATACAGTTTGAAAATGACGTGCGAAGCGTAACAGCTTTCAACTCCATATCACATGCAAAGCGTAATAGTTTTCAACATAGTTCGCGTGCAAAGCGTAATAGCTGTGTGAGCTTTGAATAATGGCAATGTTATTTTGTTTCGCTATGTGAGCACTACTCGTAATTAGTACTCGTATTATACTGAATGTGATATTGTTTATTTTTTGAAAGCATCAAATGAAAAATTGGCAATATGTTTAAAATAATTTCAGTTCTTTGAATAATATGGTGTTGAAAGCTATTACGCTTTGCATGTAATATGGTGTTGCAAGCTATTACGCTTTGCACGCGATCTATGTTGAAAGCTATTACGCTTTGCATGTGATATGGAGTTGAAAGCTGTTACGCTTCGCACGTCATTTCCAAACTTTATGAATTGTGTTGAAAGCTGCTACGCTTCGCACGTCATTTTCAAACTTTATGAATTGTGTTGAAAGCTGTTACGCTTTGCACGTAGATTTCAAACTTCCTATGGATTTGTGTTGAAAGCTGTTACGCCTTGCAAGTAGTATTCAAATTTTATGAATGTGTGTTGAAAGCTGTTACGCTTCGCACGAAATTTTTGAACTTTATGAATTTTGTTGAAAGCTGTTACGCTTTGCACGTAGGTTTCAAACTTTATGAATTTGTGTTGAAAGCTGTTACGCTTTGCACGTAATTTTCAAACTTGATGAATTGGTGTTGATAGCAGGATGCTTGAACTAGTTTTGAAATAAAAATTATTGTGTTGAAAATGGAACGCTTTGCATACATTGTCTGGTGAAATGAAGTTATGTTATGGTGTTGAAAGCAGAACGCTTTTGCATTCACTTCGAAGAATATTTTATGTTGAAAATAGACACTTGATTGACTTGGACAAATTTCAAAGGGCTGTGGTGTTGCATGGCTGTGTTTGTATCACGATTTTGCCTTATTTCTTTATTATTTCAGATTGACTACCTACCGATAGTAATTCGAGAACGAATTACAGGTCAGGTTGGCCGTGTGAGCGAACACCCTGTAGTTGTTGAATATTGTCATCTCGAAATATCAAGACATCGGCTATTGGAATTGTTGGGCAAAAAGAACCCATTTGTATCACTCAGCACACGTGTGGCTAAGTGGTTCTATAATACTATGTTCGATATTATAAATATTTACTTGTACTATAGGAATATCTGGTAGCATTATTTGAGAGAACATTTCTTTTCTTCGAAACTATTTGGTATACGAAATTTTCACAATCATGATAAAATGAAGGTAATTGATGAGTCTTCAAGTTCAAAAAATTTCAGAACCGTATCATGACCCTTAAAAAAGTTCTGAAGAAAATGTCAGGGGGTGAGGGTGTTTTCAACCCTTCAATTTCTTTTAGGTTTCTTAGATTACCAAAAGGAAAGTAATCCTCTGAAATACACTATTGCCAAATTTCATCAAATTCGTTCCACTTATTCCTGAACAGCGTACAAAAATGTGTTTTTTCAAGTGAACTTTGAACCCTTTTCTCGGACAAACGGTACATTTTGGCACATAAACAAATTGGGTCCAATCAACTTATTTTGACCCCCTCTACACGTGGTAGCTCTGTGTCCCAGCAATATTGGGACACCCTGTATATGTCCTAAATGAATCGAATACTTTGTGTCTGACCTGTTTACAATAAATACATATCAAAAGTACATGATATTTTCAGTTAGTGTGACTATAATCACTCCAAAATGTTTAGTTTCACAAGTGATTCTTCAAGGCTTCCTGTATAATCACACAACCTAATAATATGAGATTCTCATATTTTTCGACAGTAATGGTACACAAAACGAAAGTTGGCCATCTCAATAGGCAAGAATGGAGTCAACTACAATAAATAATGTTCCAACACTCAAATCACTGATACCAAGAAATAGTTCAATTTATAAGATGCGCTATAGAAAAAGCAATGATTTTACCATTGATTCTGACTGGAGTGAAATATATCCAAACCGCCCAATACATTACACAAATATAAAGAAGAATGATGCGGAATTCAGAATAGTCGATGGGGTTACGTACTACACAGCAGTGTGTGCAACGTTGTTACAGTTCAACCTTATTGTTACAACATATGTCTGAAGATTGCCCTAACTGTTCATTAACCGAACTTATGATTGAACACCGAAACAGCTGTAAATCATTATTCGATTTCACTGAACAAGAGCTCCAGCATTTTCTACTACATTATCCGATTGAAACTGTGAGGCCGATGGAACTTCTCTATGCATGGGACAAATTACCGTTCGTATACACACAGTATTCCAAACTTTGTATCCAGCTACCCTGCTCTGTCCGCTACAATCGCCCTGAATGGTGAGATTCTATCAAATGGGCTCCTCGAGCACAATTGGAATGTCATGTTTGTAGATGGGGTCTACAGCAATGCGAATAATATCAATATTTTGTAAATTGTTTATACAATGATATTTATTTCATGTAAACAGCCACAAACGTTCCATCGAACATTTAGTGATTCATAACACTATACAATGGATGAATATTACATTATATTGTAACTCTTAGTCTGATTCCTCATCCATTGAATTCTGAGCTATTTTCAAAAACTCATCTGAAGTTCCGGTAATTGCTCCTGGTGTGATCAGCAAATGACCACAAAGCAGAGTTCCAACATCGAAAGTGAGTAATATATCTCTTGTCATCAGCTGGAGAAAAGGATACTTTATTCCTCAATTCCGTATAAATGGTGTGTAGATTGGATATGAACATGTTCATTTCACGGAGTATGGTTCCTCCATACTGTGAAAACTGAATTTGATTGGTTGTCTCATTCTACGAAACATCTTTGGTTTTCTTCACCTGCTTTGACACAATATGCTTTTGCAACAGTGCCGTAGAAACATTCAATAGGTCTTCCAGCGTATTCGTCCTTTATGCGTCCGTCTATAGATTTCGATTTAGGAATCCCAAAAACATTGTCCACGGAAAGATTTAAAATAGGAAAAAAAAAATATTACCCATAATGTCATTGTAGAAATTCACAGTGAAAACTCCTAAACTCAACGAATTTGTATCGGTATAGCATAAGGATGCAGTATCACCATATTTTTCTTCTAGGTACCCATAGAAAAAATCATGAATGATGGTTTTAGGAATGTCCAGTACTGAAGCACCTACGTGAAGAGGTTTATTATAACAAACACTAGTCTTCTCTCCAAATTCAGTACTGCAAGTGAACTGTGGTTTGACTATCAGCGCTCTCGCCCCTAGCGATTTGTTTTTATTCTTCCATCGTGAGCACAATTTTGAATGAATCCTTATGTCGACATTTTCCATAGTCTTGCCAAATATTGAATTTATTAACAATTTGAACAGTTTTCGTCCAAATTCGTTCAGGGCAGAGTTTCTGAGACGCGTATTCAGATCTATACAGGGTGGCATTGAAATAAGTGCAAATATTTTGAACACTGAGGAAGCTCGATGTGAACTATCGAATGGCACTGATGAATAAAAATTTGGTATCAAAATAAAATGAGGTTTGACCCCTTTTCCCACCCAAAATACTACATTGTAGCTAATCTGATGTCACCTCTGTTAAAATTTTCATGCAGTTGGCACAATCTTTGAATTGGCAACATGGCAACGTACGAGTTGATGTGTCGTGAATTGGACAAGTTGAAAAAATCAGAACTAATTGAAATCATAATAGAGAAAAAGGTGCCTAATGATGTGAAACTTAGTGAAAATGTTCGTAGAATGATCGATGGTGGAGATAACTGTGAGTTTTTTTATTCTTTCAGTGATTCTCAACCATTTGACATAACCAACAAATTGACCATCACTAACTTGAAATGTGAAATCAAATGTATATAGACACTGAAATTGATTGTTTGCAAATACTGAATAGTGAATTAGTGCGAAGCATAACCGACAAAGAAACAATTATCAGCCTGTTGAACTCAGATATACAAAATAGAAATAGACCGAGTGGTGAACGTAAACAACACTACAATGTTGCCACGCTGACGAATTCATCCGGGGCTTCTGTTATTAGTAAGCCACAAACGGAAAGTAAGAAGAATAATTCATCGATTGCTAGTGAACAATCTATAACTGTAGAGCAAGTAAGCGAAAGCATTAATCAAGGGGGAACGTCTAAACAGAACCAACATCTGGTCCAACCGAATGAACACAACGTTACACCGGTGGTTACACCATGGAAAACAGTAAACCATAGGAAGAAAAGATCCGCATTACTAGTAGGTACTAATGATATATCAAACTCTTCGTTGAAAGGGATTCCCGAAATCATGGTGTTGCATGTATCTAGACTAAATCCCAACACTACAACGGAAGATTTGAAGTCATTTTTGAAGCCGAATTTTCCAGAAGTAGTCTGCGAGAATTGGAAGTCCAGAGTTCCCGAGATATACGCATCATTTAAAGTCACCATCTATGACAAAAACTCACAAAAGGCCATGGAGTCATCTGTATGGCCTGAGGATGCACACGTTCAGCGGTTTTTTTTTCGAAAAGAACATGGAAACTGTGACCTCATGATAAACAAATCTGCGATCAATTTGGATCAGTCGAGCGATTATGAGCTGCATGAAGCAGATTGGGTGAGAATACTTCACTTGAATATTCAATCTATATCTAATAAAATAGAAGAGATACTAGTATCCCTCGATAGTCAACAATATAATATTCTATGCTTGAGTGAGCATTGGATGAATGAAAAGACTCTTGGAATTGTAAATTTACATAATATCAAATTAATTTAATTTTTTTGCCGAAAAAACACTATACACGGAGGTGTGTGTATTTTTGTGGATTCTAACTCAAACAGTGAATCTTTAAATGTTGACAAATACAGTATTGAAATGCATGCTGAATTCTGTGCTCTCGAGTTGTCATGCATCAAAATTGTTATTTTAACTGTTTACAGGCCTCCAAGTGGAGATATTGAAAATTTTTTTGAAAAGTTCTCTGAAATAGTTTCATTCCTCTCAAGTAAGTATGATAGACTTGTAATAGTGGGCGATTTTAACATAGACCTGCTAAAGACTACTGCAATCTCAAATTCTTGGGTAGACATTGTAAGCTCATATGGTCTCCAGATCACTATCTGTGAGCAAACTAGACAGACCTCAACTTCAACTAGCTGTATCGACAATATTCTCACCAATATAAGTACAAAAGAATTCACAGTCAAGGTATTTGAACCTTGTTTATCAGATCATCTTGCTCAAACTATGAACATAAAGACTCATAAAGAACCAACAAAGAGTTGCTTTGGAAGAAAAATTAATAAGACAGGACTACGTAAATTAAATGAATCATTATCGTTAGTATGTTTTAGTAAGTTCGATGATATCGAAAGCACTGATGATAGCATACACGAGCTATCCGCTTTTATAGTTGATACTCATGAATCGCTTATAAACAGACATTTTCCTAAAAGGTCTTATAAGACATGCAACAAAGCACTAATAAACTTCTTCAGTGAAGATTCACGTCAACTGAGGAACTCTCTCTCGTGCATTAAAACTATAAGTATTTCCTCTGGTGATCCAGCAGATCATGAGGTATATAAAAAATTCAAAACCTACTATTCTGATGAAATCAAGAGGGCTAAAAAAGCTACATATAGTCAATACTTGAGCAACTCCGTTAACAAACCAAGAGACAGTTGGCGCTTGATCAATTATGAAAGGAATTCTGTACGACATAAAGTTGCGACTAATGACACGTTATCGCCAGATGGGTTCAATAACTTTTTTCTCATGTAGCCGAGAGTATAATAGGCTCCTTGCCTCTTTATGATAATCAAACAACAGACTTCCTGAAAAATAATCCGAGACTGAGAGATTCTTTCTTCTTTGCTCCTGTGCTAGAGGAAGATGTAATTAGTGCAATCAAACTATTGAGAAAATCGAATTGTTTTGATGTCTACGGAATAAACAGTATCATTGTTGATGAAAGGATTGATGTTCTTGTGAAACCTCTCACTCTCCTAATCAACATGTGCTCATTTTGTTTCAAAGTGGCGTACTTGATTTTAAACTCGTATTTTGTTGAATTTTTGGGAAGAAATTTCTCGTCAATTAATATAATTAGAAAAAATATGATATCATGGAAATATTCCTTAGACTGTATCATATTATTGTGCTGAATGTGTGCACTTATTCCAAAAA